TTCTGATGCTGGTGATGACGCTGAAGACGAAGATGATGATGCTGACGACGACGATGATGGTTATGATGATGATTATGATGATGATGGTGGTGGTGATGATGATGATGATTGTGGTGATGCTGCTGATGACGATGCCGATGCCGATGCTGATGATGAAGTGCTGCTGATTATGATGATGCTGATGGTTACAATGACGCTGATGATGAGGACGATGTGATGATGATACTGATGATAATGCGGTTTCTGATGGTGATGTTGATGCTGAACCTGCTGATGATGAGATGCTGATTTTGATGATGATTGTGCGGCTGCTGCTACTGCAGTCGAAGGATGATTGATCATGAAGATGGAGATGAAGATGAACATGAAGGTGATGATGATGATGATGATGATGATGATGATGATGATCATGCTGATGACGATGACGACGACGATGACGACGATGATGATGACGATGCTGATGATGCTGCTGCTGACGCTGATGATGATGATGATGCTGGTGGTGGGGACCATGTGATGCTGTGAAGATGCTGGTGATGGCTACGACGACGCCGTCGACGACGATGACGACGATGTTGATGATGATGACGATGGTGATGATGATGGTGATGATGATAACGACGATGATGATGAGGACGATGATCCTGATGCAACGATGCTGATGCTGCTGCTGATGATGATGATGATGATGATGAGACTGATGGCAATGGCGATGATCCTGTTGCAGATGATCATGTGGTGACGCTGATGATACTGATGATTGTGGTGATGCTGCTGATGACGATGCTGCTGATGATGATGACGAGTATGGCGATGATGCTGATGCTGATGATGATGATGACGACGATGATTACGATGATGTTGACGACGATGACGGTCATGATGATGATCATGTCTATGATGCAGCTGATGCAGCTGTTGATGACGATGCTGCTGCTGCTAATGATGATGTTGGTAATGATAATCATGCTGATGACGTTGACGATTATGATGACGATGATACTGATGCTGATGCAGATGCAGATGCAGATACTGATGATGCTGACGACGCTGGAACTGATAACGCTGATGATGGTGATGCTGCTGATGATGATGATGATGATATGCTGATTTTGATGATGACGACGCTGATGATGCTGATGTTGATGCTGATGATGATTATGATGATGCTGATGATGATGCTGATGCTGATGATGATGCTGATGATGCTGCTGATGATGATGATGATGATGCCGATGATGGTGGTGATGGTGGTGGTGATAATTGTAAGAGTGACGACGATTATGATGATGCTGACGATGATGATGATGATGATGATGATGATGGTTATGATGATGATGTTGATGACGATGATGATGATGATGATGATGATGATGATGATGATCATGCTGATGCTGATGATGACGATATCGATTATGATGATATGATGATGCTGATGATGGTTGCGATCATGATGATGGCTACGATGATGATGCTGATGACGATGCTGGTGTTGATGATGATGATGATGATGATGATGGTGATGATGATGATGATGCTGGTCGTGGTGATGATACTGATGATGATGCTGATGATGATGATGATGATGATGATGATGATGATGACGCTGATGATGATGATGATGATGATGATGATGATGATGATGATGATGATGATGATGCTGCTGATGATGCTGATGCTGCTGCTGGTGATGATGATGATGATCATGATGATGATGATGATGATGTTGATGGTGATGATGATGATGTTGATGATGATGATGTTGATGATGATGATGATGCTGATGATGATGATGATGATGATGGTGATACCGATGTCGATGCCGATGCCGAAGATGATGACGGGAAGAAGGAGTAGGGGAAGGAGGAGGAGGAGGACGACGAGTAGGAGGAGGAGGCGGAGGAGGAGGAGAATGAGGAGGAGGAGGAGGAGGAGGATAGAGGAGACCCACACTAGCTGAAGTTTCATCACTCAAACATGCATCAAATGTAAAACGCATTTGAAACTGTCATCCGAGGGAGGCCGGAAGGAGGGAGGGACGAGGAGGAGGAGGAGGAGCGGGAGGAGGAGGGGGAGGGGGAGGAGGAGGACGGCACGAAGGAGGAGGAGCCAGTGTAAACCCAAGAGTCACCAACGATGTTGGAATAAACCCTCCCCCCACGCTTCCTCTTCATAGGCGGCTACAGCGGTTCATTTCCACAGGGGCCTGCCTCGTTGGAAGAAACAATCCTTGGAAGACCCTGACGCATGCCACGTAAGTTGGAGGAGCAATCGTAAGATGAGTGAGAATAATAGTACTAAGGCTAGTAATAGCAGTACCATGAAGAACAAAACTAACATGACGAATCAGAGTAACAGCACGAATCATAATACTATAAGAATATCAATCCGTATCTGAAGAATATTTTGAATACCGCTACGATTACTACCACTAGTAATGATCGTAAGAAGAAGAGAAAGACGAAGACGACGAAGAGGGCGACTAATAAGAAACAAACTTATATTGATCATACCAAACAGACAATCAGAAGTAATACTGATACACCGGCTCAGAATAATTTCACGGATGCCAAGAAGACTTCGACGCATCCGAATATTAATGATACGACGAGAGGTATCAAAATTTACACTAACCTCACGCATGAAAAGACGAATCGTAAAAATAATTCGAAGAATAGTCAGAAGGCAATGCATCTTACTACTAATAGTACTCGTCCTGATACTTGAAATGCTAATACGAAGAATAATACCGCAAAGTTAAGACTATTGATACTAGTACGACAATACTATTGGTACCGGTGTTCATAACAACAAAATGAATACTGGTATTGATACGACTAAGAATGCGATATTAATTTAATAGTAGCCAGTTTAGAACTAATACGAGACGTAGGTATACTAAGAACACCATAGTACGCTTACTATCAAAACGAAGAAAACCAATACTACGAAGTAGTACGACTCATAGAGATATTACTAACGCGACTGCTTCTAAACATCATGATACATATAATATTGATCAGACTAACACATCATAATACGAAGCAGACTAACAATACTAAACATGCGAACTATAAGGTTCATATGAAGACTAATGATAATTTTAACAATGCCAGTCATACTACTAATCGTATCAGTTCTAGTGGTAATAATATTACTACTAAGAGTGACACTACTAATACGAATAATGATAATACGAAGACGAAGAGGAGGAGGAGGAGGAGGAGGAGGAGGAGGAGGAGGAGGAGGAGGAGGAGGAGGAGGAGGAGGAAGGGGATGAGGAGGAGGAGGGGGAGGAGCAGGAGCTGGAGCAGGAGCAGGAGGAGGAGGAGGAGGAGGAGGAAGAAGGCCGGGGGGAAGGGAGAGATGAGAGGGCAAGATTGGTGCGTTCGCGCCAGATCTGACATCCGATCCCAGCGTACCCCTCCCTCCCATGCCTTACCATGGATGTCAGGAAAGACGCGGATCCCGATCTGGCAACTCTGTTCCCGAGGGCCCCAGATATCAATAGACGGGCGTGGCGTGAAGGAGGGGGATGGGGAACTGGGAGGGGCACGAAGGAGGCGGGCGTGGCGGAGGAGGGACGGGGATGGTTGACGGACGGGGCAGGATGTTAGACTGAAGACGTCGTACGGAAGCTCCATGGAAACGTGGCAATCGCTTCGGCGGGATCACCATGTGTGCTGATGGAAGAACACGGCCTTCGCTGCGGCGAGAGCGACGTTCCGTTGAACTGAGGCTCGATAGGAAGCCTTACGTCTGGCCGGTAACGTTCTGAAAGGGATAACCACATTGGAAATACGATTGCGAAGGCCTTACGGCCGGTGCCGCCGACCCTGAATGGCGACGACGACGACGACGACGACGAGCGCTCTTGGGGGCCTCTTGGGGGTAGTTTGTGGGCCTCTTGGGAAGCTCTTAGGGGCCGCTTGGAAGCCTCGTGGGGGCCTCTTGGGGCTTCCTGGGAGTCTCTTGGAGGGGGCGTGGGACGTCTTGGAGGCTTCTTGGACGGTCTTGGGGCTATCTTGGGCGTTTTCGGCCGATCTTTGGGCGACTCGGGGCCCTCTTGGGCCGTCTCGGGGGCCATCTTGGGCATTCGGACCTCATTTGGAGTGTTTTCGAGGTTTCTAGGCCGCCCGAGGAAAAACGAATCTGCCCCCCCCCCCCCCCCACCACCACCCCCGCCGGGACCCCCCCCCTGGGGAAGGGATCAAGGGGAAGGGGCTTCCCTTCGAATCTACAACGGCATGGACAACGATGACGATCCGAACAACGAAAACACAACGATGTCAATCTGAACAACGAAGACGATTCGGACGAGGAAGCCCCTCGCACACGCCGACAGGGTCGGCGGATTTGGGCAATCTGGTGTGCGAGATCCAGAATACGAAATGGGCAGAGGGAAAGCAAGGCAGTTGCAGGGGTGAGTTGGCAGAAGTACTCAGATTGTATACTTATGGAGGGGGACGGGGAGGAGGAGGAGGAGGAGGAGGAGGAGGAGGAGGAGGAGGACGAGGAGGAGGAGGGGGGGGGGGATGAGGGATGAGAGGAACAATTAAATTATGGAGGACGGAAGAGGGATGCGGTGAACGGGGGAGGGAAGGTGAGTGACTAGGACGAGACAGTGAGTGCGGATGCAGGCCGGACGGAGGGGGAGGAATGACAAGGAAGGCAGCCAGGGAGCCAGGGGATTTCGGGAAGCGAGGGAACGAGGGATGGATTGAGGGAGGGAGGGAGAGGCGACGACCGTTTTAATGATCATGATGGTGGTTGTGATGGTTAGGATGTCGATTACGATGACTCTTATGGTGGTGGTGATGATGATGTTGATGATGATGGCAGTGATGGTGATGGTGGTGGTGATGATGGTGAGGATGTGGAGGAAGATCTCGAGGAGGATCCGCAGCTGGAGCTAATTACGGCTTTTCGTGTCTAGGTCTGTTTATTAGCTGTTGAGCCATTAGAGAAAGAACGCGACGAAAGACTTGTCCAAGATGGAGGTCGAGAGCTCTGGGGCGCGTGGGACTTTTGCAGTGGTTGCCTTCCTCGTGCCAGTACCCTGCTCCCTCTCTCCCCTTGATCGGCGTCCTGCTGCTCCTGCTCATACATTCTCTTCCTCCGTCCTCTCTCATCGTCCACATCTTCTTCCCGCCACCTTGGCCCCAGACCGCTGGGCTCGAGCTGTCGAACACCACTCCTGAATAGTTCATAAAGCCACTCTACACTTTGGCGGCTCGCAAAAAGGGGCAGGGTCGGGCAGGGCCGGCCTCGTCAGGAAACCTTCTCGCTTCTCAGAGGTCGCGGGGCTCACGGCTTTGAGGGGCAAGAAGCCCCTTGCCTTCGCGGGAGGCCTCCCCCCCTGCCCTGGCCCATTTTGCTTCTTGTGCCTACGGAGCGACGAGAAGAGGAGAGCGGCCGCGCGGACACTCGCGCGCAAGCTGCCCGCGCAAGGCCTCGTGCAGGCCACGTCGGTGCGGGAGGCCCGCGCAAGCCGTCGCACGGGGTCGCCGCGTCCTCGTGGCTGAAGCCCTTTGCTCTCGCCGCTCGGCCGCTCCCGTTGAGCCATGGCCGTGACGAAGGTGTCCTCCGTGCTGGCCTGCCTCGCGCTCGCGCGGGCCCTCGAGGGCCAGCAGCAGGGCGCGCTGCGCGGGAGAGTGAACGCCACCATCCTCCACTCCACGAGCGAGGCCAAGAGGTCGGAGGAGGAAGAAGTACCCATGCCTCTACCCCCCGTTCTCCCCTTTTTGGGCCTCCTGGGAGGACCTCGGATTCGCCTCGAAATCCTGGACAGAACGCAACCCGGGAGAGGTCCGGAGCGCGGCGGCGCGGCGGCATCGGTACCTTCTGGCTTCCCTAAGAGGGGCAAGAGGCGGCGGTCGGCCTGCGACTGCATGAACTGGGCTGGGGTCTACTACGACTCGCTCGCGATGTGCGGCCGCGCCGAGGAGCTGTACTTTCTCAGCAAGTTCGGCTTCTCTGCCGCCTACGCCGCCACCGAGCCGATCGCAGGCCTGCCGCACCGGGTCTGCAACGACTTCCTGAAGAACTTCAAGAACGACTCTTGCATCATGGTGGACCAGTACCCTTTCCCGGCAGACGCGATGACCAACAAGCAGTGGTGCTACGTGGCCAACGATTGCGACACCCTGAACGGCGGTGACTACGCCACCAATACGATGGGCTTCCAGCTGGGCGGTTGGAACAACCTCGCCAGTACGAGCAACCTGTCCTGGAAGATCTGCGATCCGGTCGCGGACGCGGGTTCCATGCTGATGAACAAGTCGCCCGGGGAGCTGCTGGAGATGTGCCTGAAGGACGACATCAGCTGTTCTCGAATCTTTCGTCTGGCCTACCCCGTCGTGGAGATCACCTGGGGTGAGGCCCAGTACTTGCTGGAGGGCCTCGACGCGGTATATACGCCCGGTGCCAGCCTGACTACCTTGGTCGACGGGCTGACGGCCCCGACCGCCCCCTTCACCAGGATGGTGGAGGTGCACTCGACGATCGGCGACATCGTCAAGTCCGAGCAGGGCACAATCCTCGACTCGCCGGGGCACGGGGATAATTTCCACGTGATCAAGGGCCGCGAGGTGTGGGAGGTGAAGAGGACCGCGGCTCGCAGAGGGGGGCGGGGGCGCTGCGAGGGGGGCGGCCCTCCGGAAGCAGCCAGTCCAGACGCCGAAATAAGGACCATTTTGGGCTCAGGAGGGGCTCTGTTTTTCGGGCCCTTCGATGTAAGTCGGGCCTGTCCCTCAACAGTAGGAGGAATATTCAAAAATAATCCAAAAATAGTATGAGGCCGATCTTTGGGAGTATTTTCGGACAGTGAGGAGGTATTGTTTGAGTATTTTTCAGTTTTCGTCCCCTGGTTCTTCGGGGGCGGCAAAGGGGGGAGGTGATGACTCGGGGGGGGGGGATATCATGGGCAAAGGGCAAGGGGGGTGATGACTGGGGGGGGTGGACATCATGGCGGGGGCCAGGATATTTCCCCAGATTTCAGGGCGCCTCTTCTTGTTTCATCACGTCCCTGGCCCCCCCAAGGGCCGCGCACATGTCGCCGGCCATGATTTGCACCCCCCCCTCTTGGACACCCCTCTCTTGGCCGCTCCCGAGTTCTGGCCCACCTCGCTTCGGCGCGACGCGCTGACCGCGTGCCAGTTCCCGAAGCGTCAGCGCTCCAAGCTTCTCCCAGTCTTCCGTCCCGCGGAGCGGAGCGTTGCGCGGTCCGCTTGCACGGCGCTACGTGTCGCCGGGCCAACCGCCGCCTCACGCTAGAAGCACACGCGTCCAGCCGTAAACTTTCGAAGGCCCGCGCGGACCTTCGACTGCTCATTTCGCATATCCATGGCGAAGGGGCCTTCTCGGGGGCGGGCTCCCCTGGGAGGGGGATCGAGCGCCCATCGCTCACCGCCCACCAAACCACCCCAACCCAACCCGAAGGTCCCGATTTGCCTTCCATTTCCAGCATGGGGGGGGGTCGGGAGCACCGAAAAAACGCGTGCGAAGCCCGTACCCCCCCCCCAAACCCGAAATTCGGGTCTTCGGGTTGGGTTGGGGTGGCCTGCTATGCAGTAGGTCAACCGCAGGAGGCCCCAGCCAGGCCGCCTCCCTCGGGAGGCCCACCCCTCGTCTCGCGCGCGCGCCTCACTCCTCGCGCGGCTGGCCCCCCGCCCGAGATCCCCAATCGCGGGGCGCGCTCCAGTCAGGACTGCCGTGTGTCGCAGGCCTAGAGGTTGACACCAACACCAATCTCGGCGGTGGTAATATTCTGGCTTCCACCCCTGTGGAGGCAGCCCCCTGCGTTGGTGTTGGTGCCCGTTTCCAGGCCTCCATGTGTGGGTCTGGCCGTGGCGGCGAGGGCGCCCCGGCCACCCCCCAGACAAGTTACCCTTGCAAGGCACCCTGCAGCAGTGGCAGCAGAGGAGCCAAAGAGGTGGGTGGAGGATTGGGAGGTCGGCCAGTGAACACGTGCGTGCCTAGGGAGTCCTAGGCTTGACTGGGCCGACTGCACGGCCATGCGCACCGTAGTGTTTTTTCTTAGAAGGGATCGTGGCCGTGTAGCAGGGGTGAGAGCACGGCCATGTGCACCACGGTAGTGCGTTGTTCTTTAGAAGGGATCGTGGCTGTGTGACAGGGGTCAGAGCGCGGCCATGTGCACCGCAGAGTATTTTTTTTGCAAGGGATCGTGGCTGCCAGGGCCAAACATGTAGCTGTCATCGAGGCGAGAGCACGTGGGAGAAAAGTCAAGGGCGTGGCGGCGAGGGCTTCCTCCTCTCCCTTCCCACTCCCCCTCTCTATTTTACTGCTTTCTTGGGGGGGGCGCCATGTCGCTGCGTCCAGGCGGGGGTGGGCGGATGGAGCCCCCGTCTCGGCACGGGCCCCCTCTGATGCTCCCCCCCCCCGCGGTTTGTTCCTTGACTCGCTGGTCTTCCTCCTAGTGAACGCCGACTTTCGACCGCGCAGGCGATTCCCTGAGCCCTAAACCTGTAGGCCTCTCTTCTCCGCCCTCCCCCCTCCTGCCGCCCTCTTCCTCTAAGAGAGGATCGAGCTTGGCGACATGGCCTACCTCGGCGGCCACTTCTCCCTGGAGTTCGCCGTGACGTGTGTCATGGGCTGCGCCCCCTCTCGCCTGGGGAACCCCGAGAACCCGGACCACCCGGACCTCGACTTGGAGACGATGTGAGCCGGCCCCGCCTGCTGCGGCGCGTGGTTGCTCCCTCCATCCCAGATCAGGAACACCGCGCCGGATGCTTTTCTTCAGGTTTCTGCCTCGAGGGGTCCGTTTCGAGTCCCTGCGCCTCGATCCGAGAGGATGCACCCTGGGAGAAGTCTAGCGACGGGTTCTGAGAGCGGATTGTGGCGGGAGGAAGAGGATGAGGATGAGGATGAGGATGAGGAGGAAACTTATGATGATGATGATGATGATGATGATGATGATGATGATGCTGATGATGCTGATGATGCTGATGATGCTGATAGTGATGACGATGATATGATGATGATGATGGTGATGGTGATGGTGATGATGATGATTATGATGCTGATGATGGTGATGATCATGATGCTGTTGTTGATGATGCTGATGTATCATGCAGATGATACTGATGGCGATGATGGTGATGATGATGATGATGATGATGATGATGATGATGATGATGATGATGATGATGATGATGATGATGAGTGATGATGGTGATGCTGTTGCTGATGAGGATTATGATCATGCTGCTGATGATGATGCTGCTGATGATTGTGAGGATGATGACGGTGGTGATTGTGATGATGGTCATCGTGATGCTGCTGCTGATGATGACGACGATGATGCTGCTGCTGAAGATGATGATGATGATGACGATGATGCTGCTGCTGATGATGATGATGATGATTCTGCTGCTGATGATGATGACGACGGCCCTGGCGGCGACGACGATGATGATGATGATGATGATGATGATGATGATGATGATGATGATGGTGGTGGTGGTGGTGGTGGTGGTGGTGTTGGACCGTTTTCGGTCTCGCATGGCCTTCCCGTCGCCACGGCTGGACTCTATTTAATGTTTTGACCTGCTCGTGACCCAGGACGGGTCCAGGGTAGCGCTTGTGACTTCGGACCCAGTTTATCCCCCCTTCTTACAGAAATCAAGACATTTGCCTTTTCATGTCTTTCGGCCCGCAGGGGCCGTCTTCGGGCTTCAGGACCGTTGAGACTGCCCAGGGCGAGAAATCAGGGAAGGGTCGATAGGCTTTGGGGCCACTCATCCTCCTTCTCCTCCCCCTTCTCCTCCTCTTTCTTCTCCTCCGTATCTCTCCTCTGCTCTCTTCTCTCCGCTCTCCCCTCTCCGATCCACCCGTCTTCTTTCTGAGTAATTCCCCCTGTCGGATGACTCGACGTGTCTGTAGGCTCGGCCGGGCATTTCGCTTAAGATTTCTCAGAAATTATTCTACCGAAGCAACACAATCCATCAGTCTCACGGATGGGAGGGCTGGCGATTTTTCAAATACGGCTCTCGCCTTAGCGACGCACACATGCGTTTCAATTTGTCCAACAGTTTCAGTGATGGTCGGCCGGTGGTTTTCAACATGCGGCTCGCGTCAGCGCCGCGCATGTTCGTCTCTCAACATTCCCCTATTGTTATTTTACACTGGCCGAGGCTGGGGGGGGGTTCAAAATGCGGCTCTCGCCTTAGCGTCGCGCGCAATTTGCAAGATCCCACCAGCTTCAAAGGATGGAGTTCTTGGTTATCAAAATGCGGCGTTCGCTTTCGCGCCGCGCGCATTCCTTGTGGAAATTTCCAACAGGCTCTAGGATGGATGGCGGTCTCTTTTACAATGGGTCTCTCGCTTGAGGCTTCCTCAAGATTTCCTCAACAACTTGATGACTCGAAGTTCGACTATGTGGACAATCTGGGCGGATGGCAGCTTATTGCGAAGGCCTTACGGCCGGTGCCGCCGACCCTGAAGACGAAGAAGAGGAAGACGATATTGGGGTTCGGGCTCCTCGTCTTGGGCCCCTCTTGGGGCCCTCTTGGGCCGTCTTGGGAGCCTATTGGGCCGACTTGGCGCCCTTTTGGGCTGTCTTGGGCGCCTCTTGGGAGACTCTTGAGCTGTCTTGGCGCTTTCTTGGGGGTCCTCTCGGGCTGTCTGTGACGCCGTCAAGGCCGAAACGTCGTATATCCTAAAAATGTAAGTTTCCGATGGGAAGTAATGAGTGTGGCCTCTTGGGCCCTTCTTGGGGGTGCTCTTGGAGGGGGTCTGGGACGTCTGGGAGGCTTCTTGGACGGTCTTGGGGCTATCTTGGGCGTCTTCGGCCGATCTTTGGGCGACTCGGGGCACTCTTGGGCCGTCTCGGGGGCCATCTTGGGCATTCGGACCTCATTTGGAGTGTTTTCGAGGTTTCGAGGCCGCCCGAGGAAAAACAATTCTGCCCCCCCACCCCACCCCCCACCCCCGCCCCGGGACCCCCCCCGGGACCCTCCCCTGGCCCCCTCGGACCCCCCCCCCCTGGGGAAGGGATCAAAGGGAAGGGGCTTCCCTTCGAATCTACAACGGCATGACGGCAGGAGGGTACGGCCCAAGAAGAAAAAAGGGGGAAGGAAGAAGGGGGAGCGGCGAGGAAATGATGCCGTTCACTTCATGTCAACGATGACGATCCGAACAACGAAAACACAACGATGTCAATCCGAACAACGAAGACGATTCGGACGAGGAAGCCCCTCGCACACGCCGACAGGGTCGGCGGATTTACAAACATGGGCTCTCTCTTGAGTCTTCTTCAAAGTTGATGTTCAGAAGCGTAAGTTTGTGCAACATTCATACGGATGAGGGGCGCCAGCGCGACCCCAATTGGGGGAAAGCTTCCTATTGCATGGGCGCATTGCTTGGCATTGCTTGGTGTTGCTTGGTGCTGCCTGGCGTTGCTTGGCGTTGCTTGGAACGGGCAGAGTATAAGAATACGAGGCACCGGGGGCGGGGAACCCGGGGAACCCGGGTATTTTTCTGAGAAGCGGGCAAAGTACCAATAGGAGGTATAGGGGCGGGGAACCCAGGGAACCCAGGGAACCTCCGAGCAGCGGGCAACGTAACACCAGTAGGCACCAACCTTTGACCCAGCAGGAACCCCTCCTGCAAGCCTAAGTGGGGAACAGCGGGGCTTCTGTTCGACACTTCGTTGAAGTTGATACCCCTACCCGCTGGCAGGATGCAGGGGAGCTCCTTTCGCTCCCCTGGGCTCTCGCCGGAGTGGTGGGCCCAAGGGGTGCCAGTCTTTCAAGGGGGGCACTTCCTGTAGTGACAAGGAAGGCTTGTACGGACTTGTTGGGGGGGGGGGAATTGTGACGGGAAGGTGTGTTGCAGCATCGTTGACGCATCTTGGGTTTACTCTGTTCTCTCCTTGTCCTCCTCCTCATCTTGCCTTATTCTCCTCCTCTTCAGACTCCTTCGAAGACCTTCCTTCCTTCTCCTCCATCCCCGCCCGCTCCTCCCCCCCCGCTCTCATCTCCTACTTCTCATCCTCTCGCCTCCATCCTCCTCATCCCTATCCTCGTCCTCGTCGTCATCCTTCGTCTCCCTTCCCGTACCCTCTTCTCGTCGTCGTCGTCCTACTCCCGCCTCACCTTCTTCTCCTCCCTGCCGCCGCTTCCCCCCTCGTCCCTCCTGAGCATGGTGATGACTCAGCCACAACAACTGCCCCGCAGCATCGGTTCAACGCTCAATCAAATTAGATTAGGTAGCATTCCAACCATCAGAAGGAACACGCTGATGTGCGAGACCAAAAGGCGACGTATGTGTTTATGTGTTCTCTTATACGCTCTGTGTGCTTCTGTTCTTTACTCTGTGTTCTCTACCCTACTTTCGCTCGCCCTCTACGTCGGATCTCCACCCTCCAACCTCTACGCCCAGATCCTCTCTCTCTCTCTCTTTTCTTCTCTCTCTCTCTCTCTTTTTCTCCCTCTGGCACACACGGACACCAGTCCCCCAGCCACGACGCATCAATGCCACCAAGTACAAGATGGATGCATCAAAAGGTCGGGGGGCACCACACTTGAAACCAACGGCCAAGGCAACAATGCTGACGACCCCGTCGAGTCGAGGACCCTGATGGTGACGTCTGTCTCACCGACGTCCCCATCAAAGACCCTGACGAGGCGAGCATTCTTGTACTCACCAATCTTAGCTACAAGCCACGACAGCGCCGTGACTGCATGAGACAGAGGCTAGCAAACCGACGCAGACAACTCATAATGGACCGCATGCGTAACATTGCGGCGATCTGGTCACCATTGGATTAAGAAAGTGACGCCTTCCACGAGTGAGTGGGGACTTGCATAGACAGCGCTAAGGAAGATCTTCATCGCCCTCATTCTGTGCCATGACCCGCCACCAGCAACGCGGGAACGAACCTACTTATTTCTTGTGGCCAAGGGAAGCATACGAACTTTGTGTCACGGCCAGGCAGAATATCCAGCTAATCAGAGCCAGCGAACGATGCACTTTTGCCAGGTTATCTTGCCCAGACCCTGGAGCTTACCTGGTAACGTACGTGCGGCACTTCCACGGAGAGGCCACTGCTGCCGCAATGCAGCAAAACATCCAAAGTGACCAGTGACCAGAGGCCGCAAAACAACATTCCTGGCGAGCGTGAGCCGCACCAGCAGAAACGCAGCCAACGGTGGGAACGCACCACTGCTGCCGACTTGCTACGTTGGGTCCACCACGACCTGAGACCACCTCCACCACCTGGTATCCCACAGCTCACCAGCATTCCACCGCCCCCCGCTGACGACAAGCCGGCAGTGAACATTCCAGTAACCCAGACACCACCATTCGAAACAAGGGGCCATCACTTTAATTCGATGTAGTGGGACCATAACCGTTGTACACTGATTCCACCGGTGGCGATACTTGGCTGTTCGGCCCACATCGCGATGACGGCCCCCGAGGCAGGAATAGCGGCCCCCATTTGTCATCATGTATCGTCTGCGCCCTCGGCGTCATAATGATCCTTTGCATGGGGGAAGCCCCTGAGGGTCACCCTACGGGTGACTTGGGCCGCACCGTGACAAGAGGGCCCGCCACTATCCAAAACCAAAACCATCGACGTCACCTATGTGCTTCTCGTGCCTCTCATTGTCGCCCTTAGGGACGTGGGAGCCATTCAAGGCATTATTTTGCGCTTTTCTTCCGCACGAGAGATAGCAGGGCATCGCGTCGACGAGGGGGGCCGAGGGCGCCAGAACTTGCGCCTGACAGGCTGACCGCCACTTCGGCCGCCGCCGCAGGCATGAGTTGCAACGGAGTCTTGCTCTGTGTCATGGTCGCCCTAGCCATGGGATTCGGCAGTGCAGGCAGCCCCCCCTCGCCG